TACGAATGTTTTCACTGATATTCGGTGTGTCAAACTTATTGGAAGGTACACATGTGAAAGTGCGGTCGAATGATGTGTTACAGCATTGAAAAGGCAAGTTTCACTTACTTTTGCTTTAGTGATTTCAAAATTATTTTGGACGTGGTTGTTTCGGTAAAAACACATATCTTGCCACACGAGTAGCTTTGTACTCACTTCTAATATTCTTTTTTATCTACATGTTCGTGTTAATGAAGAGAAAATGAGGAATGAACTGAAAACATTTTGTCGCATCGAAGTATTGCGTATTTAAAGCTCAAAATCCACAGATTTGTTGTGAGGCGGCGGCGCTCGCAGAACCGCTCTGGTCCCACGCGGCCAAAAATGCCAAAACGCGCGATGTCGTCAACGTGTTAATAACCATTGAAGGGATGAAGGTATTAAACCATTAACAAATCCATCAACCCCTGAGATGAACGGTGCTCAAGAATGGATTACCACGGCAAGAAAGTTGGCACTTCTTATCAATCTACAGTACCGTAGATGGAGAGAAGAATCATAGATTGAGCTTGAAAGAAGATCAACCTCTCCAAAATTGTTGAACTCCAGCCTCAAACAATTAGATGAAAATAAACATCAGGGTGAGCGAAACGCCTTGAAAGCAGCTGAATGGAATATTTATTAGAATCTGAAATTAAATATACCCGTAATAATTGAAGCCAAGATACAATATCAAACAGAACCTAAACAAGATATTTTCTTCCGTATAGAGCAGCCTTCTGATCGAACGCGGGCGATCTTATGGGAGAATTGATCGTGTAAAAAGGATTCATTGAATATTTGATGTAAGTTTCGTACATCTCCTAGAACAAACACTCATCTTTAATGGTAACAACGAACATAAAGACCAAATCCTGTAGTAACTCTTTTGTAACACTCAAACGAAACACAGTTGTGTATTTCAAAAAGCCTGAAGACTTAAACCTTGTCAGTCTCATCATCTTTACGTAATTCTGGTAAACACAGCAACCGATTCGGAATAAATCTCGACAGTTATAAAAACCTACCTGGAAAAACTGCTTGATCCCTTCATCACACCGTTGAGTGTGAAGCATTAGGAATCGGATACGACCAGCAGAAACGAAAGCTGATACAAACCATTCGTTGAACTTGTCAACCATCTGAAAACTTCACCATATCAAATACATTGAAATAGTGCTTCACCTGAGCCGCTCCCATCTTATGTGGAAGACACGCACATGGCCGCCTATTTCATCTGGAAACGAAGGGAGATCTATGGAAGAAGAAAGTCGTAAGAGGCCGATAAAGACGGGAACAGAGTGTAAAAAAAGGTTCCAAGAATACAAGAATATAACGGAAGAGAGAGGTAGGAATTTGAAAAAAAATAACCAACTTTTCAACACCGGTTCTTTGTTTCGGTCATGACAACAATAATAATAGAGAAGTTTTACAATAACGACCCCCCTCCCTCTTTCCCATGACTAAACTCATAACCCCCCTTAGCATTTCCTTTGCACTTCAAATTTTATAAGTTCTCTGGACTAAGACCTTTCATTTCATTTCTGTTGACCAGAAGCTTTGATCAGTAAGAAACAAAAAAGACTAGAATCCTGAGTAAATCTCCTGGGAATAATCGGTTCCTTTTTTGAAAAAAAATCTTTTCGGAGCTGAGGTCTCAGAAACAATTACTATGTCGACATACAGTTGACGGGCCACCAAATAAATGCACCCTCGTAATTTTATTTATCTTATTACTGACTTTTCTTAACTGTTCCGTCAAATTACCTTCAGAATTTGTTGATGAAGAAACAAAACAGGAAACCAGGAAGGATTAGCAAATCCTATTGCCAAGAGAGCTGCTTACCTTAGAGCTCATGAGAAAATTTATGATTTGAAAATTTTTAAATGAACCAAAATACTAACAGAAAAATGAAGAAAAGACAAACCTTAAGGTACATATTATTACTGGTAAGAGCTTGTTCATCAACCACGTCAAGAGCAGCATGAGCGATGAATTGGTTCAAATGCCTTGAAATAGAGTGTAGGTAAAATCGACAACACGCTCAAAAGGTGTAAAGAGAATTTAATACCTGTTTTCTGACTCGCGTGACTTCTTATCGACAATCGGGAAATCCATTTCAAATAGAGGTTGATCACTGTGACCGACTATCACAAAATAGAAGTTCTTTTGAACAGACATGTCTGAAGATGCCGAACGTTAGTGAAAAAGTATTTGTCGAGACCTTTGCTTGAGGCTTGAACGGATACAGCTTCTAAAATAGATTAGAAAGTTGTTTATCTGACCAAAATTTCCAAGTGGCAGGAAAAAACCCAAACAAAAAATTGCCGCCGGACGCGTTGCGGTCGCGACGTGTCTCCTCTTTGGAGCACAGAAGTTGTCATTGGGGAATGCTTCTGTGTATAGATGACAAGCTTCGGCACTCATGTGCTTAGGGGGGGGGGACCAGGTGATTGAGCACTTACTGTGCTTGGGGCTAGGCCCTAGGGAGGAGAATGGATCCTGGGAGAGCATGTGAGCAATTTGCGTTCTCCCTGGCGTTTCTTCTTTTGCTGGGCCTACTCTTATCTCATCTACCATGGACCCTGTTTTGAATGCCCCCCAAAGACATAAG